ACAACTATTTGAAAATCTGGAATCTGAGGGTGCAAAAAAATCTAAATATTGAGAAAATCGCCTTTAAAGTTGTCCAAATTAAGTCCTTAGCAATGCATATTACTAATTAAAAATTAAGTTTTTATATATTTACGGTAGGAAATTTACAAAATATCTTAATGAAACATGATCTTTACTTAATATTCTTGGCATAAATGGCATAAAAGAAAAATCGATAATTTTGACCCATACAATGAATTTTTGGCTATTGCTACAGTGCTACTTATCATGGTGTTCTATTCAACCGGTCAAATTATTGCATAGATGTTTTGTGGACAAAAAGCCAAAAGTAAGCAATACTATGATCCTGCCTGAATATACTCTGTTATTTTCTATTCACCTTGGGAATAAGGTTAAAGGCACAATATGTAAGTTTTTTATTAAAATATCCAAAAATCACTAGAACAGTGTTATATATTTTGCTGACTTGTGTACTTACATTATCCCAAATGTTTTGAAGAATGTTTAAATCCAGAGAAATAAGCAATTTTAACTAGTGGCACGGAGCGTGTCTATAGTTTCATTGTGTCGCCTGCTAATGACGTCATAACCCTCGATTTCACCAAACACCAAAGACGCTTTAATATGCTATGCGTTTTATTAGACAGGTGACGAACGCACAAAGTAGCATTATAACAGAACTTTCAAACGTATCTAGTATGATAAAACAGCGCTGCTTTTTTTTCCCACATACGCACGACCGGAAGGAGCGGAAGCGGTCGACTGTGGCATAATAAAAGCTCCGCTGCTTTCGAGCCGTGTGTCACGCTCGTTCAGCGGCCTCGTTTCGCTTCAACGGCTTTCAGCCTCACCCTGCTTCATTCTACTACGTTAATAAATCATTAGCTCATCCATGAACATGATTTCTGCCCGAGTCCCGTCGGATTGCATCGGCTGTGGGGATGAAGACGACAACTCCCATGATTCCACACCCAGTCACGGTGTCATCAAACTACGCCTTTGATTCTTTGTTTATTTTGAATACGCGCTCTCTAGCGGCGAAAAATTACATATTGTGCCTTTAAGTGTTACCAAGATTTTATGCATAATGTGGGACTTTTAATTGCAAACTATACCAAAATGCTCTGGGACTCTTATTTTGAAATGTCTATGCTTTACTTCCAGCTGGCAGCAGCTCATCACATTTATTTATTTAAATCAGCCTTTTTAAGTTTAAAAATCACATTAGGCCATACTGCGATTCTAGTTTTTCTGTCCACAAAATAAAGTGAGATTTAAGGTATTAAATATTTTTTATGACCTTAAATTTGATCAAACTGAATTTAAGGCTTTTAAGACCCACAGGAACCCCACTAATTTCACTTCAGAATGATGCTGCAAACGGATTCACTCCAATGCAGTTCAATTCCCTTCAGGCCGAGTTGCTTCACCTCAGAACGATTCACTTAACTTCAGATTAACTGACTTTATCAAAGGACTAACTTCACCAGATGAAAAGTATAATTCACTCACTTCAAATCAAAACCAAAATCAAAGTAAAGTTGTACCTGTCTCCCCTGGTTTCTGAAGAATTCGCCGGTGTTCTCGATGACCTGTTCATCAGACAGCAGGCTGTAGGGCTGCTCCTTACATAAAGTGAAGATCTCCCACAGAGTTACTCCAAATGCCCAGACATCACTAGCTGTTGTGAACTTCCCCTAAAAAACACACACATGTAACACACAATGCACTGATACAAAGGAAGAAAGCCACTGTAGACAGTCTCCACCTAACAGTTAAATGTAATTTTTTTTAAAGAAGTTTCTTCTGCTCACCTAGGCTCCATTCAATTGAAAAAAATACAGTAATATTGTGAAATATTATTATAATTTAAAATAATGGTTTTCTATTTGAATATATTTTAAATGTAATTTATTCTTGCGATGCAAAGCTGAATTTTCAGCATCATTACTCCAGTCTTCAGTGTCACATGATCCTTCAGAAATCATTCTAATATGCTGATTTGCTGCACAAGAAACATTTCTTATTATGAATCAATGTTGAAAACAGTTGTGCTGCTTATTATTTTTGTAGAAACTGAGATGCATTTCTTACACATGAATCTTTGATGAAAAGAAAGTTCAAAAGAACAGCATTTACAGCCTCTCTTTCTCTCACCAGTAAAATGCTCTCCCAGGCCATCCAGCGTATAGGCAGCACAGCGCGCCCCTGTATACGATAATAATCACTACTGTACAAGTTTCTGCTCATGCCGAAATCAGAGATCTTTATGGTGAGATGACGGTCCAGGAGGCAGTTCCGTGTGGCCAGATCACGATGCACAAAATTCAGAGAAGCCAGGTACTTCATCCCAGAAGAGATCTGCACCGACATGTGCAACAGGTCAGCAATGCTGCAGAAACAGAAATAAAAGAGTCTGAGTTCATGAAAATAAAACAGCAAAGGCACACAAAACATGACCTGGCTTCAAACCAGTATCAAATTCAACCAGCACCACGTCTGACTGCGTGAAAGCACAAATGAGACTTGAAAGCTATAAGGGAGATGGAAATTTCCTTAAAAGCCTTTATATATAATGTATTATAAAATTAGTTTTAATGCATTAATTGTGCCTCGTAATGCACATTATAATGCATTGCATGATCTTATGAATAATTGCAACCACAGTTATAATACATTATAATACTTAAATATTCATTGTTGCACCTTTAAAACGAAAACCCCCAGTTTCACAGACAAGGCTTAAGCCTACTCCTAGACTAAAATGTAAGTCTGAGCTGTTTCAACTGAAAGAAACTTGCACTGACTGATCTTAAAATATATCAGTGCCTTTGTTTTGTTTCAAAAAGCACACCAGTAATGTTTTTTTCTAAGCACGTTTATAAAAATTACCTAAATGTCCTAATTGAACTATGGCCTAATCCTGGCTTAGTCTAAGCCCTGTCTGTGAAACCGGGCCTTAATGTATTAAAACACATGAAAACCAAACCTACAAATATTATAATGCATTTTCAATTTGAGAATGCATTTAAAATGCAATTATTTATGAAGAGATATAATGCATTACAATGTATATTATGAATACCTTTATAATGCATTATAAAGAAAGGCTTTAAGTAAAGTGTTACTTAAATTTAACTTAAGTTTGATCTTTTTTTTCTCATATAAAACTACATTTTGGCTTCAGAAGGCTTTGAATACAACACAAAAGTCATTTGAACAAGGTTTATGATACTTTTTGTCTTTTGAACATTCTAATTAATAAGAATAGCACAGATATTCCGTTAAAAGTCTTCTGTGTAGAACGTTTTTTATTATCAAAACTATTAAAGACTGTTTTCATTAAATGAAATAAAGCTGAAATATATAAACAAAAATAATAAATAAATACTAGATGAAAACATAAAAAAAAAACTTGAAAATATTAAGTTGTAAAAACAAAGGAAAATCTGAAATGTTGCCTTGGCATTAAACTTAAAAAAGTACTAAGTGCTAAAATTGCTAAAATTAAAGCTAAATAGAAATATAAAAAAACTAAAATGACAAAAGAACATGACAAAACTACTAAAACAAACTAAATTAAAATTATAACAAATAAAAACAAATGCAAAATATTAATAAATACTATAATAGTATATAAACAATTTTAACATATGGAAAGGAAGAAAGAAAATCATACAGGTTTAAAATGGCATAAAGTTTAGCAAAATTGTGCTCCATTTTGTGTTTAGCAATTGATTGTAAAAAAAAAAAAAAGAAAGAAAAATCTGATTGCTGGTACTTCTTTAAAAATGTAGGTTCTTTAATTCAGGTTTTCAAAAAAGAACACATTGAAATAATTTCCACGTTGGACTTGAAGACTCAGAGGTCTCACTTCAAAACTTGTAATCTGAAACATTTCCATCATAAATTGAGAGCTGACTTGAAACTGGAAGGTTAAGTTGAAGAATTCGGAGGTTAAGAACGTTAATCTCGACTCTGACTTGTAGAATAGCGATATTGACCCCTGTCTGGAGATGAAAGACTGTACATGTCAGACTTCTTCATAATGATGGACACACCTGACAGACGGAATGTTGTTGGCATGCGTGAGTGTGCTCTCTATCTCTCTCTGGGACAGGAACATGTTGAGGTCTCCGTTCTCCATGTACTCCGTCACCATGCAGAGCGGGTCGGAGCTCACACACACGCACAGCAGCTGAATGATGTTTGGGTTATTCAGACGCGACATGATCTTTATCTCCTTCAGGAAGTCATTTCTACACGGACACAAAAGTCAGAAAGGTTATCATGGGATCAGGAGAAAGGTTACAGGTCAACATCCATCAGTAAATATTGACTGACAACAATAAATGAGAAATAAATTCCAGCTGTAAACAGATGAACACTTTCTGACAGAAAAATTCCAATGATAACTGTGTATTTATAAACCATTTTTGACATGTTATGAAGGATTAGGAGTCTTTTAGGAGTCAATATATGACAAAATAATTGAAGTGATAACAAGTATAATTGAATATATTAGAAAAATATTTGAAAAAAAAAAGCTTTATAAACAAAAACAATTTAAACACTGCATTTCATTTGCCTATTGTTTGTCTTAAAGGGATCATATGATGCTGCTAAAAAGAACATTATTTTGTGTATTTGGTGTAATGAAATGTGTTTATGCGGTTTAAAGTTTAGAAATGTATGCTGAACGGCTACAGTTCTCACTCAAACGAACGGCAGCTGTACAAACAACACAAAAGTTTCCCCACTCTACTGTTTCTTCATTATATGATACTTATGTATCTTCTTACGTTATATATTTATTGGGATAGGCTACATTCATTTTTGTTCTCACCGTTTCTGTCGTGTTGTGTCGTGTATCTCTGCCACCGTGGTCCAGGTGTACAGGTGCTACTGGGACTGATGTGATTGAACGCGGCAAACTAGTTCGCGTGTGGGAAATGAAAGTTTTTTACTCGCAGTATTTGATGTGCGCATGCGCAGCTCTCAACCCTACGTTCCAGCACTTCTCAGTTTGTTTGTGCTTGTCATGTATAATATCAGCAGGTGCGTTATCATTACACCAAATAAAATGTTATAATGATAACGAACTATTATTAAATAACAATAAACAATATATACGTTTATACTGATTTTTTTATTTATTTTTTTTTTAAATAAGTTAAATTTTTATTTATGGTAGCCAACTCTCTCGGGTCAGGTAGACACCACTGTGACTCCTTCCACCTAAACCTTACTGAGGCTTGATATTTAGAGACCCTCTCAATAAATATAGCTGCTATTTTAGAGTTCAGAAATGTTTAATGGAATCAGGTCATCATTTGTTAATCCGCATCTTGCAAAACAGTGTTGTTTTCTTTTCTTTTTTTTTCTTTTTACATAAAAGATTAACTATATAGACATGCTGACATGCTTATAGACATTCTGTAACATTCACCATAATAAGCTTCCTTCCCAATACACCCAGAACTTATTACTGGAAAAAAATGGGTCATTCAGAAATAATAATGGTTATGATTTAACCAAATGACCATATAAACAAAAAGCTTCATGTCCCCCCTGGTCATGGGATATCCTTCTGAGGGATCACAGTATTAAACACAAGTGGCTGTAGTTTATTTTTTACCATTGTCTCCAGTCATTTCAGTCTGACCAGATAGTTATTCTGTTTTGTTAAAGTGCCCCTAATTATGGGTTAGGAAAGTTCATGTTTTTGTTTTGGGAGTCCCCAACAACAGGTTGACATGCATGCAAGGTCAAAAAACACTTTCATTGTCTTATAATATGCATTTATTTTTACCTTATTTGCTCAACGACTCCCAAACGATTCGCTCAACGATTCATTTTTCCAAACCCCTCCTTTGCGTGACGCTAATCTGCGGTGATTGGTCTGATTGGTCTCATTTTATCATACCTGTAATGCCTGATAAAGCAGTGTTTGTGAGCGCAGAGCTGCTTTGTGTACAGCGTTACCGGGGAAACCGCTATTTTACCAAAAGGGGCACCTAGTGGCAAAGACGAGACAATAACTTTATACAAGGTGCACTTTCAGATTTAAAACTTTGCAGGATGTTTTCATTCACTTAGAGCTGTGTTACACACTGCATGAAAGGTAATTTTCAAAAATCCCTAATAGGGGCACTTTAATCCATGAGCCAATCCATTTTATTCCCACCAAATAAAACACAATTACATAACCATTTCCGAACTTTTTAGCAAGAGCTTCCCAGAAGCCTCACTCTGTGATGCAACTTTCCAATCAATAGTTTTTTTTTGGTGTGTGTGCTTTTTCCCCTCAAACCTGGCATTGCTGGTGGCATCCGCTCTGAGTTGTTTAACTGCTACTAGCACCGGCCTGCCGTCCTGCTCCGGTAATGGTGCACCCTCTCCCAGAAACTCAGCCAAACCCTCGGCCTCACACAAATGCACCTGGAAACAGCAACAACAGTATGAACATGAGCGAGCAAACATACTTAAACTGATTGAGAGCGGAAACACACTCGCATGGGCTCCACTAACAACCAAAATACCACAACGTACTAGGGTATTACCATGTTATTTTTATTTTTTTATTTGGCATACAATATGAATACCTTACTATGTAAATATTTTAATCACTGTACCAGCGTATACACTAGTCTGGGGTATGTAAGAAAGAAATGAATACTTTTATTTAACATTGATGCATTAAACTGATCGAAAGTGACATTAAAGGCATTTATAATGTTGCAACATATTTATTTCTATGTTTTTATACCAAACTTTCTATTCATCAAAGAATACTGAAAAAAAAATGATCATGATTTCCACAAAAATATTCAATACTGATTCAGCATTAATAATAATTAGATGTTTCTTGAGCAGCAAATCAGAATATTAGAATGATTTCTGAAGAATCGTGTGACACTGAAGACTGGAGTAATTATGCTTAAAATTCAGCTTTGCATCACAGGAAAAAAATATATTTTAAAATATGTTAAAATAGAAAACAGTTACTTTAAATTGTAATAATATTTCACAAAATTACTGTTTTTTGGTATTTTTAATTAAATAAATTCAGCCTGGGTGAGCATAAGAAACTCTTACAAAACAAAACTTTTGTATATCATACAGTACTGTATGTCACAGTACTATGGTATTACTATCCGGCACCGTGGTGTCACCATACAGTAGTAACATAATAATCAGGGTCAACTGAGATAAAAAAGTATTAGTAACACTATTGCATAAAATCCTTGGCTCTCACTCTAGATTTCCAGTGTTTTTCTTAATAAAGCCATACATAATAGTCATGTGTGGTCACTAATAACAGGGTTTTCTGGGAACTCTTTCACTGTAATTTCACAGAACAAACATCAGGCATTGCAGCACTGTTTGTATAAAACAGTGTAAACAGTGCGCGAAAACATCCCAACTAACTCCGAATAAAAGACAATTCAAGTGCGTCCAGAAGTGAGCCAACAGAACAACAGCAGCGGTAATAAAACCTCCTGCTGTGCTTCATCCAGACTCACCTCACCAAACTGGCCTTCTCCCAGTTTCTCTCTGAACAGCAGTCTCTCTCGTGGGAACTCGGCCACTGAGATGTCCTTCCGTGTCAGGGAATCTACGGTGAGGGCCGGAACGGCGTACATGTTGCTGCCGGTGACCCCCTGCAGGCTGATGATGTCGGTTTCAGCGTAGTGCGGCACGCTGCTCTGAAAACACTGGTGTGGGGTGCACAGGGTCACGTCAGGTTCGGTGTATCCTCCGCTACAGGCTACAGAGACAAAGAGATGTCACTAGGCATGACCAATTGTAATTTATATTAAAATTACTTGAGGTGTAAATTCTTTCCCCTTGCATTCTGTTTTATTTTCTCATTTATTTCAAGCATTTCTTTATTTGTCACCCTATTTATTTTATATCATCCAAAAATCGTCATTTATTCACCCTCATGTTGTTCTAAATCTGTATGAGTTTTGTTTTTTTCTTTCTGTGGAATGCAAAAAAAAAGGCATTTTGAAGACTTTTTAAACAAACTGTTTGGGGTCCCATTGACTTTGACAGCATTTCCATACTGTTCAATGGAAGTCAATGGGAGCCAAAATTGTTAGGTTAACAACAATCCTAAAAATATTTTTTCATTGACTTCCATAGTATTTTTTTTATCCACACTATGGAAGTCAATGGGACACGAAGCCATTTGGTACCAACAATCTTCAGAATATCTTTTTTTTTGTTCTGTACAAAAATTCTATGGAGGTCAATGGGACCCAAAAACATTTGGTTACTGACAACCTTCAAAATATTTCCTTGTGGGTTCCACAAAAATACAATGGAAGTCAATGGGACCCCAAAACTGTTTGGTTCCCAATATCTTTGAAATACCTTTTGTGTTACACAAAAAAAAAAAAAAACTACGGATATCAATTAACCCTTCGCTGGAAGTTTGATGGACAGGTGATCTGTCCAATCATAATGCCAAATCTAGCATTTTGTCCAACAAACAAACAAGACAGAAGAGTAGATTAATGTTGGTCGACTTGAACTTGAAAAATGGTGTTTATTTTGTGCTATAACTAGTAGAGGAAGAGATGATCGGTTTACGTGGCGCTTGAATCTGAGGCGCTACAGCGATTTGTCACAACACATTAAAAAGCCACAAAACCGTATTTATTGTTTGAATTTCTTAAAAAATTACAAAATTTTAAAGCTGAGATTTTGTTTCATACCAAAAGCAACCTGCTCTGTCTTGCCTGCCAGTGTGTTGTAAGTTTCCTCTTTGCTCAGCGATGTATTTTTCACTGCGTGCGAACATGATGTGTGACGTGAGAGCAGCATGGCTTGTTGGACATAGCAACAGTAACTAAGGGGGGTCGGGTCTTTGCGAAAGGTCAATTGGACACAAAATCATTTGGTTACCAACAAATTTTAAAAAATCTTCTTTTGTGTTTCACAGACAAAAGAGAAACATACAGGTTTGGAACGGCATGAGGGTGAGTAAATGTTGACCAAATTATCCCTTTAAGTACTATATATGCTTTTAAAAAATTTGAAATGTTGACAATCATGTCGCTTTGTTGATGAAGATTGAGAGAAAGAGGAAGAAAGAGAGACAGAAAATGCAGAAGATGACAGTAGAGGAACAGGCCAACTTCATTTTATTTCAACCAAAACCCTGAGGTGTCTGGGTGCAAGAAACCGCAGTGTCAAAAATTACCATAGGAAAATCTAGCAGCAGCTCTTACGTAAGTAAGTCCTTCAGTCTGGTAACAAGGTCAGGTGGAGTTCATAGACTGCAAGCAAAAGATAAAGAATGCAAGACTAGACGAGGAAGAATGGAAAAGTGCAGCATGCAAACTGTTGAGGAAACAAATGTCAATGAAATCAAGTTCAACAGGATGAAAAATAGAACTCAGAGAGAATATTTCTTAAAAGATAGTACAAGAGGTTAGTTTAAGAATGGACATCATGTTCAGATATTCAGTAATGTACTGAAAGTCTTCACAGTAGCTCTGGTCCAGAACCTAGTAGGCTACCTGGGCAACATTGTTAGGATTCATGGTTGACGTGAAGACGGTTCTATTTGGCAGTAAAATTATGTTGTCTTTATTTTTGTCCACATTCTAAAGCCTCGTACACACTGGGACGATTATCGCGCGCGCTTGTCGCCGACGTTTTTCGACACGTCTTTTGTGTTCATACCATAGACTGTATAAAAACATGGACGTAGTGTCCGTGACGTAACCCGTAGACTTCCGACGAGCGTTTTGAAGTCTAAAGTAGGCGGAGCCAGCCGTCACCATCTTGGCAGCGCGTTACCGCGTGTCACTCCTGGATAATCGAAAATGGGCAAAGAGGCGGGAGCTGGCTGCTGAAACCACGCCCACCTAGCGCGACGGTGGTGACAGCAGCGGCAATCCACCTGTCACTCAAGTGGCCACGCCCTTAATTATGCAGAACTTTAAGGCTTAATATAATTTAAACGGATGAGTTATAAAAAAATTCACCCCCCTCACAGTTGTCATGAACGGCAAAATTAGCTATATAGACCAAAACCACTTTTTGTACCAGGCTGTAAACA